TCCTTGCCGGACTCAGAAAAGTAGTTGCCAAAGAAGCCTGCTTCCATGGTGGCAGACATCAGAATCACTCGCAACCGGTCGTTGATACGCAGGAACAGCCGTATCATGAGGAGCAAAAGCTCCATGTCGGCACTTCGGATGTGAGCTTCATCTAGGATGAGGTGAGTCATGCTCTGAACACCTTCGGGAGCAGCTGTGAGCCAACTCAGAAGGTAGCCAGCTGTTGCGAAGGAGAGGTGATCCCCAGGAACAGTCTCGCCACGTATTCGATAGCCAACCTCAACACCCATGGATAAGCCTAGTTCTTCAGCACATCGCCTGGCCAAGCTGGTCGCAGCCAAACGCCTGGGTTGCGTCACCAGAATGTTGCAGGGCTCCTGTTTGGCCGCCGCATCTCGAACAATGAACTGGGGCACCTGCGTGGATTTGCCACAACCAGTTCCGCCAATGATGGTGACAACTCGATGTTCCCTGACCTGCTTCAGCACCTCTTGTTCCATTTCACAGATTGGCAGGTTTGGGAACTCCTCACTGCGCTGGCTGCATGAAGCAGGTGGGGGAGTGGGTTCTCTGCCAACAGATTGCAAGGCCTCCAAGCCCATGATCCTTTCGAGCCCATCCTCGTCCTCGTCCTCGTCCTCCTCGTCCTCAGATGACTCGGAGTCTCCTGCTGGAGCCACCATGTCCACAAATGCCTCTTCGAGCTCTAATGCCAAGTTGGTTGTAGAGTCCTGGCAGGGTGGGCTTCACCTCACAATTGAGTTCAATCCGTGTCCTGGTCCTAACCCTTCAAAAACACAAGCCGGAAAAATGCTTGAAGTTGCTGAACACGACCAAACACATCTTCTTTTGAAATCTTCCGTGCACGTGTGCTTTCTTGAAGTGAATCCCATTCCGCTTCCTCGGCATCAGCGGAAGACACTGGCGACTCGAGCGCTTTGGCGACAGGTGGAGTTGAAGGCTCTGGAGGGGTCGAAGGCCAAGGTTGCCCTCTGCTCTTCACAGATTCGGCCGAGGAGGCAGTGAGGACCGGCTCCTTGGATGAGATACTCGGCTCATCACTCGGAGATTCTTGGGCTACAATCTTCTGCACCGGGGGCTCTGGGTCTGATCTTTGGGCAAGGCATCGGATGCGGCCCCCCAAGCACAAATGGAGTCAGCCATCTCAAATGTCTGCATCTCTGATCCGATCTCGCGCCTTGGAATCTCCGGGAATCATGGCCGTTTTGCACACCTCGCGGAAGTGATGCAGAAACGGCAGGCACCAGCCATGGCCTGCAATACATGTTGCTCCAGTGACATCCTGTAAGCCGAGAGTCTCGCCGTGACCCAAAAAGCATGCCGGCAAGGAGGCCATCGCTAGTAGGTTGGAGCCCATCGCTAAAAAGAAAGAAGGAAGAACATGCTCCGCTCAAACGAGGCCTTGCGCAATCCAGCACAATGACATACAACGACCCTCGCCCCACAAATTTTCAGGTCTAAGAAAGCGGGTCTGGGGCGCAATGAGGCGCATCTGTGCTCTAAAGTCGATGCCTGACACTTGGAGTCAAGACGAGGAGGTACCTTCTCTTCTCACTTCAGGTACCTGAGGCGAACAACCATCTTGCGGAATAGAATCCAGCGGCTCAAATGCCAAGTTGGGCACATCTTGCTCATCTCAGCCACAGCCGCATCCAAAGCATCTGCTAGGGCAGGATCGACGTTCTGCTTGCATTTCACCGCGGCCAGCATCACCTCAACACTTTCAGACTGCAACACGCTTTGCCCTTAAATGCCAGCCTGGTGGTGGGATTGCAGTGCGGCAATATAGTCCGCCTGCTCAGCACTTCTGGCCACGCAACTGAAATGTCAGCGCAAAGGCTTGATATTTGAGGGAGAATGGGGCTTGGCCTAAACACGAAAGTGGCGACACCACCAACGCTCTGCGAATCAAATTGCTGGTGTTCAAACGTGTTCGCTTGTTATGTCAGCTTGCTCTGTCTCTCCATCTTTCTTACCACCGTCTTTCGGTTGCTCCTTACAAATGACAGGGTGAGGCATACTGAGCAGTGAATCTGTTTCAAGGTCTGCCGCAAGGTTATTGGTGTGAGTGCCTTGCCTCGCTGCTGAAGGGCGTCTTGGGGTCGGTCACAGGCTTCACACGTTGGCACAGGCAGTATTCAGACCTTCACAGGTCGGCTGCCCAGGTCGACGGAAAACGGAAGACTTGCTGAGCTGTGGACATGAGGCTCACGATCTTGCCTGCATGCTCTTCCTTGAACACGCGCAGGATTTCTCTACTTTGTCTAATAGTAACACATTTGCAGTGGCCTTAGTGTTCACCCAGCGGGTCATTTGATTGATGTTGAGCGGGGTCATGCTGGCCTCATGATGTTTAATAGGTCAGCAGTTGATAAGAGAGCGTCGTGCACTCCATTTGGGCACACAAGCCGCCGACAGAGAGCTCACCGATCTGAACCATCGCCTGGCAGGTCGACTGTCTGGAGATGTCTTTTAGATCCGTTTTGAATGCGCGCGAGAAGGCGAATGGGTGATGTCATGTGGTCTCAATAGACATGGGTCACATGGGTGGCGGAAACTAGGGACCTGTGGGACCGCAAAGGTTTCTCTTCTTTCCTTTTGCCACCGTGGTTTCCCTTTCTTTTGGAGACCTATGCTCCCCACCTTCTTGATTGTTGCCACAGCCTCCTTCACGTCAGCCACAAGCTTTGGATCATCAAAGATTCCTTTGTTTATTGAGGGGATTGGTCAAGAGTCAAGACAGCTGAAGTTTGAACCATCAGCGCAAACAAGCTGCCGCATGGGACTTGGCAATGGCCCCCTCGAAGGCGCAGCACCAAGTGCAGGGTGGACTCCTGTTCTTTTTTTTCTCTCTCTCTCTCTCTCTCTCTCGATTGGGGTGATGCGTGGCCTGCTTACAGCTCAGATCAGCTGAGCTTGTGTCCTTCTGGATGTTGTAGTCTGACAAGGTACGGCCATCCTGCTCAATATCACTACTGTCGTAGATTTAACCGTAACCGAGACGGAAAAACGCATCACAGACTCCACCTCCAGCAAGACTTGTGAACAAATCAATGCAAATTAGATCAAATTAGCATCCTCAAGTTGCTTTCCGGCAAAGATCAGACGCTGCCTTGGCTGAAGGGCACTCCAAGCTTCCCGCGGTTGAACTGCAGCCAGGCTTTGATGTTGCTGACCAAGTGTCTGATCTGGGGGGATCCCCTCCTTGTCCTGAATTTTGGCCTGCGTCCAAGGCTTTGTGTGTGTGTGTCTTTTGCCTAGGTGGTCGTCACCAGCAGGTGTCCTACTCTGGCATCCGGCCTTCACGTTGTCAATGGTGTCAGAGGCCTGCCACTGAGCATATCCCGGTCCCCCCCAAAAAAAAAACAAAATGCAACACCAGATCAACACCAGTTGTATCAAAAAACCTGTGCACGCGTATCTGAGAAACAATGTAGAGAGCTAAATTGCACATCCACCTCCACATCCAGAGTGATGGTCTTTCCAGTCAGGGTCTTCACCTGCAAGGACCACAGCCCATTTAACTTAAGTTTCCCTAAAATGAACCAAATCGTTAGTGCGAGCGCTATCCTGCGTCCATGCTAGTAGCTTAAGTAGCTAGTTGCTACCTCTCTTTTACTCGCTACCTAGCCTCCCCCCCCCGGCGGGCTTAAAAATAATGGAAAAATATAATGTACAAAGGATGCCGAGGTGCAAAGATCTGCATGGCGTCGATCTTTTGCAAAACGCGGCGGAGTTAGCAACGGCTCCAAGTTAGCTAAGCCGTGAGCCGACAGTGGCGGACAGCTGCAAGGATTCATTTGAGACGGACACAACCAGTAACCAGAAAAGGCCATGAAGGCTTGGCAAAGAAGCTATGCACCCACGGGACAAGCAATGTGACATGATGTCATGGCAGGCAACTTTTTCAGCAGTCGCATTCAGCAAAGACCTCAGAAGGGAAACCGGAAACCCGTCTTGAGCTTCACGGAAGTTTCACTGAAGCCGCTGGGAAAATGCTGTTCTGTCCTACCTCTTCCAATCAATTCCGAGCCCCCTGCCATGAATTGCAGCTGAATTGCGTGCCCCCACAACACTTGAGCCAAAAAGTTTAGGAAGTGACTCGGCCATGAGTTCAAGAGTTTCTTGCTGTTTCTTGTGCGGCACAATGAGGCCGCCACGCAACGGCGGCTCCGTTGACCAGTTGGAGGCGTCCCTGTCGTCTCGATCCATTCACTCCGTTCGATCTCGATCGTGTCCGGCCGTCTCGCCTGTGAGGAGGGTTTCGTCCATCCAAGGGCGGCAAACTCGCCCTGTGACGAAGATGCCTTGGCGGTAAACTCGCCTTGTTCATCCAAAAGCGATCTTCGGGAAGAGCGAAGAGCCATAAGAGTCGCACGAGCCCTTTATGCGTGAGCTGCGTTCAAGTGTGGTAAGTGACACTAACCTGACAGAGCCAAATCCTCAAGGCACAAGGATATGACCCACCCATGCTAGCCTGTCATCCCAAAGATGTGCAACTTCTGCCATGGTTCAATGGCCTGGCAATATGATTACTTCAAGCAGTTTTTGAATCTTGAAAGCTCTGCCAACAAAGCACGCCTCGCGCAAGCCAAACTGGGGAATTAGCAACCTTGTCAGGCAGGAATGTGCAAACTATGCCTGCTCCAACAACACAAAATGCCTACAAACCTTTCCAAGTTCCAAGCCTCTCTGCTTCTTGTCCTTGTCCGGATTCGACATATTCCGCTGAGCTGAGCAAATATCTATTGAGATTCGCTGTGAGCCACATGTGGAGCAAATTCAGACCAATACTCAAAACGGCTTCGGAGGCGTGGTCAGCTCAAGGACCTACAATGGCCTGTAGCCTAAACATGCCTCAGCACCTCTCAGCACCTCTCACACCTCTGCCAAAGCCTATGCCCCCTCTATGCCCAAAGTGAAGAACCATTCACTGCTTTAACGCATTGGCTCGAAACATGGCAAGCTGTGGCTCCCTCCTCATCAAGCACAGGTGCAAATACATCCACGGCCTCAGTCCATATGCAAGCAACCTCCTAGACTTGGCTTCAGGCTTCTTGCTGTGCATCTGTCCTCTTTAGTTCAGCTTCTCTTGAAGAGTTGTCAGAAGTCCTCCTACTGGTACTGGCTTGAGCCAGCCTTGAGCCCCTCAAGGGGCCAAGGTAAACATGGTAGACATAAAACACCCGCTTCGCCAGCAGAATGCTGAGGGAAGCTGATTGTCTGGGAATGTACAGCACTACGGCAAAGCCCCCACCGTCTGCCAATTCAAATCAGCAAGCGCTCGGGAGTCTAAGCCATATCTTGCCGTGAAAAAGTGCAGTGCTCACATTGCCTTTGGCAAAGCTAGCACTTCACTTGGGCTTCATAAGCTACAATTCCTCAGCACATGCCTCAGTAGCGCAGTCTCACCAGCGTGGGGCAGACATGTTGTAGAAGACTGAGCAATTAGTCTGCGGAGGCTAATTAACTAGTAAAAGCCCTACTCTTTCTTTATATACCTTCATAGAACATAAACTCCATCCAACTCCCCCATCAAAGTCGCAGGAAAGTGGTGCTGAAACAGCTGAGCAGCCCTGTGCAACTCACATGGCAGCCGTGGTTCCCGTCTTTGATGCCCTCGCACCTGGCGGGTCTGCACGTCTGGGAACACATACGTATATTGGACCATCTGCCACTGGACTGGGCCAGACACCTGCATACTGTATGTACATATACTATGTGTAAGATATAAGTTACTATATATATATATACCACTGTATATAATATATGTAATCAGATATATATATATATATATGGTCCATCACCCAAAATGCTCATCCAATCTTGAAGATGGCACGGGATTCGCCTCAGGTGTTGCGCGGGATTCCTCGCGTGGATCCGGCCATAACTGGCTTTGCAGGGTCGTATCGCACAAATGGTGGCCCCTTTTTCTCCTGAGCAATGGCCAAGCAATGTTTGCAGAAAAAATTGACCAATCATCTGGCCAGTTGAAAGCTGTTGGTCATCTCGACCATCAAAAGGGATTTCAAACCTCTCCTTCAGCACCTCTTTATCACCACAATCTTTGAACCAGTCATAGCGCTTGTCGAACCTGGGCTCACAAGGTGATTCCAGTGACACTTAAATAGACTGTATCTGCCGAGCCGCTGCTCACAAACCATCCTTGGCGTCATAAACAGGCATAGAACAACTGCATGTGAAGAAGGGACAGTAACGTTCAAGAACACAAAGCACAAAAGAGCTGACCTATAAATGCCTAAGCAAGCAAATGTAGAGTTCTAGTTGCAGTTGGAGTCCAAATTGTCCACGGCTTTCCGTGCAACGAACCTCGCACGGGTCTTGTAAAGACTAGATTTGTGCATCCAATATACGTCCAATATACAAAATTGGAAGTGTTTCTGAGGTGGCACATGGCACCAACAAGGTCCTAAGGTGCTATTGCGGCGGGTCCAACCGATGTAAGTGTGCCATTGAATGAAAGGTGCCAGTGCGGTCCGAGTCCGGTCGAAGATTGCATACATATATATAGTTATATATGTATATATTCTAAAAAAGAATTATCCTGGTCGAAAATATTCAAAAAAATGTTACACTGAGTCCAATTTTTGCTAATGTGGTGCGCATCTGCAGGAAAAAATCCTCTTCAGCCTAATGTAGACTGTTGATGATTAAGACCCCACCGTTTGGATTGTAAAACATCAATGGTTTACACTTGAATCATGAATCAAATAGATGCTTCCAAAAAGGTTTGCCAGGGCCGTACCGAGGAGATCCGAGGAGATGGTTATATAGACCCCTGCCAAGCATCCGATGATTGTAAGGTTTCATCGCTGGATCGCGTCCAAGCTCCACATCCGTCATCAACCGTCGCAGGTTCCTGAGGATGGTGCAACACATTCTGGCCGTATCCCGTATCACTGGCGATCCAACATGTGCAACTCGATCTTCCCATCGTATCGTTGCTGTGCGGCCTGTCCAGCTCCTCACGCCATTTCAGTCTTCGCTGCAATTCCTTTCGGCACAACATGAAATCTTCCCCTGCTCGGTGGCTCGAAAACCGAACACACCAAGACACTGCTTCCGCGCCAATCGCCAGTTGGCGCCGTGGTGATTCGACTGTGGTTTTGGCCTCACTTGGCCTGAGCAAAGAGATAAAATCTTGGGTCATATGAGTCATATGAGTCATGAACTGTGTGATTCTTCCTCTGGGCCAGCGTGCACGGACGGAGTACTTTGGACAGCTCCTGTGATCGTGCCACCTGCCATGGCAAACCTGGCACAAGCATTTGTTTGTTGGCGACATCTAGCTCAATCAGTGGAAACAAAAGCCAAGTCATTTCCAAGCTCGCAAAGGTGACCGAGGAGATGAAGGGAAGCTCCTTCAAACGCGGAAAGCCCATGTATACAAAAGAATCACATTATATCGACCATGTCAATCATGCGAATTCATCCCATGGCAATTGCAGCCATCCATCTGGATCTTCCTCTTCAAGATCTGCTATATAATTGACCAATCATGCATGGGCAATTCACTCATTCTCTCTGGGTCGGCTGACCTCTGCGTAGGACTTTCGGCGTTCTTCGCCTGTGCAACTTTCAACACGTCGCCGCTTTACGTCGCCCTCTTGGCCCAACTGTTTGGAGAGGACAAGTCGTTGGCCAACCCTGTGGATACTCCACAGGGTGCATATCTATGGGCAGGTTGTGGCAGCAATAGTAGCAATTGGTAGCATCACTGCAGAAGCTATGTGACCACGAGTTGTTCGAACATGCCCCCTCACTCCACGCTCTGAGTCATTGCCTCCAAGGCCAGCTTGCGAGCACGGTTGTTCATGGACTCGATACCGTCCTGCCGACATCAGAACAAAAGCAAAGATTATATACAAAAAAAAGCTGCCAAGAAATTGCTTTGCAATATTATTTATATAACTGAGTGATTAGGAAATACATTAAAATACTGGAAATCACATGAACCAACTGAACGCTGTTTGAGCATGATCATTATTATATAATATAGTCAGTCCCCTCAAATGTTTCCAGGATATTTCAATCCCATAGTGTCAGCCCTCACAGAGTGACACGGCTTCCATGGTGAGACTTGCCCACCCGCCTAACCTTTCTCCGTCCTTTCGAGGAGACTCATCCCCACGGTGCATGGTTTGCAAACGCTCCTGCAGCCCAGGTTACCGGCAAGAAAACGACGATCTGTCGGTCAAAATGGACCGAAAATCGGAACCGCCGAGTGAAGTACTAGACATGACTAGCAATCATATTGCATCCCCGATACATCCCTGGCACTCTGGCGGAAAAGGAAGGGGGAAAAAAGCATCACCCAACCCTTTGGGACTCAAGGAGAGGACTCTGTGGCTCCATGGCCCTCTCAAAGGCTGAGGCCCTCAAGGCCCTCTCCTGATGGCTGTAGCTGGTGAGGAAATGGCTCATCTCTCGGAACTTCGGGTCTCCACCAATCGCAACATCCTTCCTTAGCGTCCCGGACTGCAAATGGCTGCGGATTGATGTAAGGTCCTCAAGGCTATGTTCCAAAGTGCTCATCTCAGGAAAAACTTGTGCGGATCTCGCTAGAAAGGCACGACTTTCTGAAAGTGTGCGACTACATTAGACTACCTTGTGCCAGGAGGGTAACATGCCCCCTAAAGGTCCTATGGTACTCTGCACTCAATGAACTGTCTCTTTTTACTCGTGCACTGCAATCATGTGATCGACCAAAAATAGCATCCAAAAACTAAACGCCATGAGGGCACTGGCGGAATGAGGAGGTCATCGGTGTCAACGGCTTGAACTTTGCCGTGCCATGCAATTCTTCGATCAAACTGATTGTTTCAGCCACCTGTCCAAGCTGGTCACCCTCAGCGTGCATCAACCGAAGCAAACTTGTCAAAGCCATCTTATATCGCTCGGATCCTGCTATGATAAATTGGGCCTGGTCTTCATATTCATCGTTCTCTTCTCCCATCGGCGGCTTAGCCATGTTGAGACAGCTCTCAAGGCCAACGGATCTGGATCCTCTCTTATTCCTACAGCTTTCTGCCTGTGCAACATGCACTTTCATTTCATTTGCAGTTCTTGTTGGCTTCTTGTGGCTTCAACAAACGCTGCGGAGCACGGGAAATCTGCCCAGGTCAGGGGCTCAAAAACCTTTGCAGGTGCTGTTGGCAAAAATCAATCTCATCATATCATGTCACGAAGAAGCTGAGAAATACCAAGTCAAGGACATACGGCTGATCCCTTCCGCTTGGCACCTCAGCAATCTCCACTTTGGTGTTTCTTGCGACCAATGATCGAACACGGCCTCGACCACCGTCCCCACAAGCTGATCCTTCCAGGCCTGGCAACAGAGCAGGCTGAGGGATGCATGTTTGGCCGCATCTTCTCGTGCAAGGAGAGCTAGGCACACCTCCAGTTCTGGCCCCAAATCCACCTTCCAAAAAAAGCTAAGGACAGGGATGCTGAGATGAGCAAACACATGCAAACACTACACCTTTGGTGACACGACACATCATGCCACCTTCTTCAGAAAGACCCGGTCACCCACCTCCATGAATCATACGTTGAGTGCTCCGAACTTGGAACTCAAGAACTACATAAGAGCATCTAAGAGCCGCTAGCTGGCGACCACCCCAGCCTGGAAAGTCTTTGGGCTTTGCGAGAAAGAGGCCTTCAAACTGAAGAGTAACTTCAAAGAGGCCGAAGAGTATCAGCTCAAGGACGCAAGAGCTGCTACCAGCTTGATGCAAATCAAATCATCAAAAGCCACGCCACTTTTTCCACAGGTCGATGCACTCGATGTCGTTCTTCTCTGTACAGGACGCACGCAGGTCCCTGGCAGTCTGCTTGTTCTTCTTCGGATCAAGTGATGTCTCCAAGAGGCGCGTCCGATGCCCTGGAGCAGCCTACAGCGCCTAGAGGGGCGAGGTGCTTCACTCTGGCGGTGATCCCGATGATGAGTCTAAATGAGTCAAAAAATGTCAAAGTGCTGAAGCAAACTGGTCAGATTCCTCTGCAGTAAGCTGGACCTCAGAAGCTTGATGAAGCTTGAAACACCGGATACGCCTGTCAATATGTCGAAGCCACTTCTTCAGCAAAAAAGAAAAAGCAAAAACCAGGTCCATTGTCTTTAGGCAAGTGACCGAGTCTGCGTCCACCACCAGCCAACGAGCTCCGCCATTCGCTTCTGGCTGAGGTCTGGAAGTCTCTGAGGCCTCTGTGTCCTCCTCACGCTCTCGCGAGCGTCGTTGCAATTCTCGCAGCTGCGATCGCAGTGTGTAGACCTCGTCAACAGCGAACGATGGTAGTCTCTGCCCCTTCACAAGAATTGGACAGAGAACAAAGGTGGAAATTCACGCATTCTTTCGGGACCTTTCGGGCAACCCTGCTTGAAAGTCTAAAAAGTTGAACAAGTATGACCGACCCAGTGACTTGGTAAAGAAGTATAGAAACACGATGAAACACATGCGTGTCACATGCGCAAGTCCCTTACATGTGCAGAAACTCTTGGGTCACCAGCACACCCTGGCCAAACAGGTCAACAAAAAAACACCGATCCACCACAGTTGCCTGATCAAAAGGCAGCTGGGCTTTTCGTCCCAGATCTGGAAAGTCGACCCATCCGTCCTGGCGCGAAGAATTCACATAGCTGGGACCAGACTCAAAATGGCACGACCATCTGAATCAATAATGCTTGTTGAAGTTGTATGTCGTGTGGAGCGCCTCATGGATGTCCAAATCTGTGAAGCATGGCCGCCAAGACCCATTCACTGTGTACCTGGTCTTAGCGGTTCACACGTCCCACACTGGGTCCGCAAACCTCTTGCCGACGCGAAACGAAGGACGACCGTTGATGATGGGCCAGGGTGCTGCAGCAAATTGTCGCCTGCAATGGAGATCCGAATGCAGTCTTTGCATCGAGCTTCAACCTCAAACGCCGCAGCCAAGGCGTCATCCGCTCCAGGTGAACAGTCAACATGGCTCGAGTCATGAACCAAGAAGCAAAGCATACACAAAGCCCTGCCAGGGCTGCCAGCTCTTGCAACAGGATCCTACCAATCGGCATTTCCGAGAAAAAGGTCCGAGCTCTCCTAGCTTGTGAGTCTCAGGGTGCACATGTCTGCGAGGTGTGAAGGGTCCTCAAGCCTTCAACCTCTTTCCCTGCCATTGTCACAGTCTTGTTCAATTCCGGGATGTTCAACAGGCCTTGGACAGAGTTACCACAGTCACACTTGTAGTGTGTTCAGACCATCTAGCCTTACTTCTTGAAACCTGGTTGAATGGTTTGCACAACAAGCTGTACCAATCGCAGATGTTGGACCAGTGCTGATCAGTGGCCATTCTCATGAAAAGTCATTTGCAGGATGGTCGGTCGCCACAACTCAGCGCGTCGGTTCGTAACTCGAGGAACGAATCACGGACGAATCACGGAACTCACATTTGGCGGTCAAGGAGGCTGGTCTGGCGAAACATCCATGTGGCATAATGTGCTGCACACATCATTGCGCAATGCAGCTGCTTTACATGAAACCGTGAAAAGGCTCCTCGCTTCATCGTAAACATCTAGTTGCCCATCCGCATCGAAAAATGGACCAAGCCACACCGTCAACTGTGTACCTTGGTTTGATACATCGGAATGTGCAGATCACACAATTCCCATCATGGAGGACAAAACTGCAACACTTCACAAAGCAGTTGACGCATCGTTTGTATTCGTTTGTCATCCACAGAAAGGAACTGGCCGGGTTGCTGGAGATTCTGATGGCCCAAGTGGAAGCGTATCATTCGGTTCCCTCGAGCCGTCTGAAACCTAACCTTGGCTCACAATGGAAATGCTGGTCTCATGTGGCGCACCGACATCTCCACAGTAGAGGCACTCCCAAGTGGACTCGGCAAGCCAAATCTTGAAGCTGCGCCCTGGGCGAAGTTGTCACTTTTTTTGGTGTTTCAATAGCGTTGCGACTTATACTCAGGCTTTTGGGGGGTCCTAACTGGCAAGCATAAGCGGGAATGCCAAGCTACCTCAACTCATTCGCACAGCTGTGCGGCAGCTGGATTGATGTGCCTGAGCAGTGGTGGAACAGTTGGCATCGAGCATCCGTGGCTCTTCACAACCAAAACAGCCGACCTATGTCAGGAAAGTCCACCATGTCATCCTGCAAGAACACCATCTGCTGAAAGGTGGGTCGGGGAATGCCATCCACCGTGTACTGCCTCACGACGCAAATTTGGGACACATCCACGGAATTGCTGCGATACGACTTCCTCTGAGGTTTTGGCAACAGTCTGTCATCAGCGCACGTCACGCAAATGTGCCCGTGACCCCTAAAGGCACCACAAGCAAGCAGCAAGGAACCAGTAACGGGATGTAACGGAGGCATCTCAAATGACTTCTTCACAGATTGCGCCTTGCTTCCTCAAAGTGAAGACCTAAAGAAGCCATGCAAGCAAGCCTGCGGGAAGCAGCTTGCTGTCATGACATGTGGAAGTCCATCAGCAAAACAATCTTGCACTGAGCAGCACTGAAGCTCCTACTACAGTACTCGTCCTACGAAGAGATGATCTTAGTGCAGTCTAAGCTTCTTCTGGATCGCCAGCCTTGAAAAAACTTCCGCTTGCAATCCGGTCTCTCCGCCGCACTGGCTTTGAAAGAAAAACAGCATGTTGGCTAATCACATCCATCACCCCCCACCTGGCACAGAAGGCTTTTTGAGGCAACTTGGCCGTGGTGCCCAACTCCGGGAAGTGGACGAAGTCCTCCTCGCTACGGTGTCGGACCCCACGGCCACGGTGCCGTGCACCGGACGCTTGAACGACGGACGCCCCCTCCCGGACGCCCGCGTCCACCGGGGGCACCATCAAACGAATCAAACGCCGGAGCCTGAAAGTACATGTTGGAAAAGGGTGGACGAACCTGGCCATCCACGGTGTACTGAAGTCGTTGGAGGCCTCGGGAGCGAGTCGTCTGCGAAGTTTCTCGACTGCCGTGGGCACGCGGGTGGTCTCAGCCTGCCAGTGTCATCCTCAAGCAGCCCTTCCCTCTAGCCTCCAAGCAAAGGAAACGAGGAAACATGAGGAAACATCTGGAGGACGAGAAACAAAGCTTTGCCCTTTAGGTTTGGGCTGGATGCAGCTAGCACCATCCAACGCCTCAGGGAAATCAGCTCCATACCCTGCAATGGCTGCCAGCGCTTGCAGTGTCGCCCGCACATCGCCCGCGGAGGTCTCCGGCAACTTGGCCGAATGGTGGATCTCTGGGAACCTTGGGGTCACTGAAGCGGCTGGCTATGACCGGTGCGATACACTTGACCTGTGACTGGAATTGGAGATTCCACTGCAATTACTGATGAATTGCCTTTCTTGCAAGTGCACAGCTACTGTACCAAATGCTACCAGATTGAAGCCGAGCTACACCACAACATCATCCGCATGGAAGTCCAAATGCCTGTCATAGTGCACCCGGCATTCATCATGTAACAGTTCAACTGGGGGTTGTCCAACAAAGCTCTTCTCTAGGAGCTTGTGTCGCCGGCCTTTCGCGGCCCTTTTGCGTTTGCAGAAAACCACAAGTTTTCCTTTCGCGCATTGTGATGAGCTTGTTCCATTGCACTGAGTTCACAGTGTTTGGGATTTTATATCTAATTAGATACTGTAAATACTTCTAAATCCCTTTTAGTGCGCTGAGAAGCAGGCTGACCTTTGTCAATCCATACTTGAAACAAAGGTTTCAAGGCCATGGATGGGCAAATGCCCTTCCAGGCAATGCGCCCTTTCGCGGGCCTACCGCCGGCCTTTCGCGGCCCTTTCGCGAAAATCAGTTTTTGTGTTCGGGAAAAAGGATGTGTCATGTATTGTCATGTATTATGCACATTTTATGTAAGTCTAGGTTGGCACATTCGCCAGCCTTTCCCGGACTGCAGTTTCCCTTTCGCAATATGTTTGTTTTAACATTTCATCGAACTTCACTGGCAATAACGGACGGCCCTCAACTAGAAGTCCATACACCATGCAACGATGCAAATCCCTCTCGTGATGAATCCAAGCTTCTTAAACTGTGGACGCCATTTGCCATTGCAGGTGTACTGAAGCCCTTCGGCAGCAATAGACACACGAATCTCTGCTCCACTTCTCACCTGCCAGTTTGCTTGTGTGTGTGCGTGTTTTTGGTGAGTCACACCTATAGCTATAGCCCTTTGGCCCCTGGACTCACCACCAAAAATATCCTCTTCACTACTAGTACCTGGTCCAATCACAATGCTTAAAAAGTGGTAGCTGCTCTTGGTCTTCGTGTACAACTCTTCCTGGCCTCCTGAAACTTCACAGCGATACCCGCGAAACACGCCAGCTCCTGCAGTTCCATCCTTCGTCGGTCGGCCTCCTGGTCGATCAACCTCACCTCGGCCCGGTCGGCATCCGGTGACCGGTGACCGCGTCACCTCGGTCGGCGACTGAGTTTCGGAACGGTCTGATGGATTTCGGGCAGCTCCACAGTGCCATCCTGGCTAAACCCCAACGAGCAATGGTGCGGGGTGCAGGACGGGCCATGTGAAAGGCGGGCGAATCCATGGGTAAAGTTCGCCATGCTCATTTTTCGAACACTTTTAACGCTCCAACCATTTCCAACCCCAGATCCTCTATGAAGGTCATCTTCAGGAAGGCTGGCTGCCAGGCATTGTCCAAGGCCTCGGACATGGCATCTGGATCGAGCATGATCGAGAAACTCGATCATCTTGTTGTGCGAAATGAGCCGTGCTTTGATTGTTGATTCTGCCCAGGGCTATGCTGGACCACCTAGACTTCAGGTGACAGTGCCTACCTATGCGAGGCAAGAGGAACTCCACGGGTGCAAGCCCACGCAGGCTGCAATGTCATGCGTTTTCACCGTCATTGGGTTGGTTAAAGGGAAAATCTACAGAAAGCCAGCGGTTATCATCCCAAAACTATGGGTTTCGTGTAGGCTTTTCGTGAGGCGATTTCTGGGCTACCAGAGTAGGCTATAATCCAGGCGGAGTGGGTGCTTTACAAAACAGGCTGCCGCTCAAACACCAGCTATCACATGCTATCATATCAGTCAACCTGTTCAACACCCAGAAAAGGTTGCATCGTGGCAAACAAATAGGTCAACACCCCTCCCAAACAGTCAGGCCCACCGCATCTTTTTGACTGTTTGACCCATCCCCAAAGTCTCGGCCTCCTGGTGGATCCGCCTCCCGGACGGGTGGCCTAACCAAGCCCAGGAACACATTGGAGTCGACCTCCGAGGGCTTTCACTTGAAGTTGCCGGCCATCAAGTAGTTGAAAAAGGACCCGGTTCCTACAGCGGGTGACAAAGCATGATCAATAACATCAAGCACTACAGAAAATGCAGGTCCCAGCAGTCTTCCACATCTTTTGGTCCCCCAATCTTGACCCTAGCGTAGTTTAAGCCAAGCGTCATGCTCCCACCACATCATTAGTGGCACTGCCGCTAAAGGCTGATCCTCAGAAGGCCAACATGACGGCGTGTTCGGCACGGTGTGTGCACGATGGACGTGTGGCGGCCTTTGGCCTCAGCTCTACCCCAGAAACATTGCTGAAGTGGCTTACACAGCAGTCGCACATTAAAGTGACCTGCTGTGTGCATTTTACAAGTTGTAGGCTCGTGGCCCTGTTGGTTTGTTTTGGAGCTATGACGGATGCTGTCACCTCAAAAGCCCGGCAACAGTGCAGCTAAGGCTCAGACTCGCTCGCACTAAGTCTGCTCAGCAAAGTCATCCGGCATAGCTCAGTCAACCCTCTGCAGTTGGCAAAGACGCCTAAAGTTCAGTGGCCAATGTGGTTGGATGGTTGGATGATGTTGGATGCACCGCTGTGTTTGATTCTGCCAGTGTGCCCGGTGTTGCGCCAATCCGACCCACAAAAGCCGGAGAATCTGGGTCACTGCAACTGAGCCGAAAAGGCGAACAAGGAATTTGCGGATGAATTGGGGAAGCATCTCCGTGCAAACATGGCCCTGGCCAAGCCTTAAGCTGACTCCACATGGCCTGGGATCCAACAGCCGCTCAGTAAGATCACTACTCTTTACATGCCGAAATGCCAACTTCCTCAGTCATTGGCTGAGGCCAAAGCAAAGCATGCCGGACATTAACGATTTCCATGCCCTTACTCATGGCTGTACAAGGTCAGCCGTGGCGCATTGGTAGCTCCATCTGGTTTCAACAAGTCAGGTGTAAACTGATGGCATAGTTCTTATAGCACAAGTCAAGGATCTAGATTGCTAGAGCTTTAATCGCTGAATTCTCTCCAGTGGCTGTGAGCCGAATTCGTGGCCTCAGATCCCAGAAAATAGATTTCTCAATCAATCTGTTGGACCATTTGGCTGAACATACACTTTCCATCAAACTCGCTCTACTGAGCTGTAGCTAATTCTTTTTCACTCAGCAAAATGGATGCCTGAGCGAGTCAGGAGTCTTTCTTCGCAGCTTTGCGGGCTTTGGCTGCTTCTTTGCGCGCTTTTTTGATCTTGAATTCCTCGTGGACACATCAATGTGTCTTGCAAAGCCCAGCACAAGAATCAAACGGGAGTAAACGAAAACCTCCCAGCCGCAGCCTGTTCTTCCAGTATAGGCTTGGCACACTTGTGATAAGCGAGGCATGCAAAAGTTAGGCCTGTAGAAATTCCATGGATACTGCTCCTCTTTTCATCAAAACTTCTCCTCTGTAAGCAAGCCAGATGGACCCAGGAGCGCTGCAAGGGCTAGAGCTTTTGAGTTCAGCTCTGACACAGGTATCCTGGCATTGATTCAGGTAGGGCACCAAATGCCGAGTGAGATTCCAAGGTCAGCACGCATCATTCGAGAACAAGCCAGCAGGCATGGCTCCAAAGCTCTGGAGCCACGGGTGGTTTGCTTTGGCACCAGGAATCGTGGTAAAATGCACAGTGTCAGTCTACGAGTCTACAACCCATCCTGGATACAATATATATATATACAGTGTATATACATATATATATATATACACAAGCAGCATGGTCAAGGTATCCAAGTAATTATGATTTTGATTGTTGCCCCTGTGATTCAATCATTCACTGATTCACATCCTTTAATTCATACATCTGTATGTGCTGAAGGTTTGCTACAGCAAGCTACAGCTAACTCTGCAGTCTGCCGTTGAATCAATGCTTTGAGCTGTCTCATCTGTTGAATCTCAGCTGCATGGATTGAATGTTCTCCATTTCCTCCTATGCGGTCAAGGCGGGCAAAGGTTGACTCCTATCTATGCGGTCAAGGCGGTCCGTCGTCCAGGTCTAAAAGCGGGACATCCCTTTTTGTTCGCCTCCACCATCCGGTCTATCTAGCAAGGCCGCAAGGCGCTTGAGCCGCTTCGCATGTCACTCCCTTGGACCGAAAGCCTGGCCTCGGTAAACCTAATGTACAAGATCATAAGGCCCTGCATGCCGATTTGGTGCACGTTGCTAAGACATCACATGAAGCCAGTGAGATATATGACATGCGCACATGGTAATATATATATATATAGAATGATTTGTATGCGGCGTGTTTCTGCCCCCTGCTGGTTTCATGCTCCAGCTCTGAGAGAGGAAGTTGCACCAACTGACGCCCAACATCCTCAAGCCGACACGTCACGACCCGCGTAGGTCGCGGCGGGTCAAGCAGCCTCAACACACGGAGCTGCCTGAGATCGACCTGTGACGTTTGCGACGTTTGCGACAAGCTGAGGCGGGCACATCACCTCCCTCATCAGAGTATGAGTAGTCTGAATAGTCGGAACCTCACGAATCTTGGAGATCTCATGATTCTGACATCTCTTATTCTATGAGCTCGCAGCACTCAAACTCAATCATATATATATATGTGATTCTACTTGTGGGGCTTTCTGAGCTCGCAGCCCTTCTTCTCAGCCTGGCGTCAAGTCAAACGGCGGAGAGATAGCGGCATCACTTGTGTGGGGGGGATTGCGCGGCAAACCCTCTCGCAGCTTCTGCGATTCATCCGGCCTCTTTCTCCTCTTTGTCATCATTGGCATCTTCTTTCTCGTCCTCTTCATCTCTCACCTGGACAGCCAAATTGTGCCACATCACAAGGACAGGAGACCCATCGGCCCTGCCATTGGCCCCTCACAAACCCTTCTGCCGCCCATCACCTCGCCGTTGCTCTCCAGCTCTGCCACTTTCCGCTTGGCGCTTCGCAGCTTGGCCTCTTGCAAACGGCCCGGGAAGGACCATACTATATATATATATATAACCGCTACCAAGTTTGCACTCAATCGCACATGGTGGTGCACTCATACTACTATATATATATATGTCATATATATATACAGTATTATACAGTAGATAGTAAGTAGGACTCAAATATGCTGCCATGGCATGAAAAAGCCCTTGTCATAGAGCCAGCAACGCCGATTCGCAGGGAGCTGCCAGCCTGAGCCGCAGCAAGCCTGCTCAAGAGGGTTTTTCTCCAAGTCTGTCGGGCACATCAAGGCCAACCTCTCATAACCTCTCTACTCTTTGCAGTGCTGCAAGCGTCACAGGCGGCGAAGAGCTGTGGTCTGTCTCCACGGCTTTCACCAAAAGGAAAGAAGAGAGCAAACTCTGTGCAGACCGCCCAAACCCCAGCTGCCCTTTGGCAAAGGGCTCTAGCGATTGACTTTGCATCATTGCACCTATACAAGCATGGCAGGGTGTCAATTAGCCTTCTGACAGCCAGCTTTAAACTGCAGAAACCTATGCACAAAAGTCGTTAACCGGCAGAACAAGCCCTCTCAAAAGCCCAAGAAAGGCTTGTCGCGCCAGACCGGTCGACTGTACACCTATGACCTATGCAGATGGCCTCTCATCACTTGTTTCATCAGCAATTTCTTTCACCGCCGCATGACTTGATGACACCTCAGAGGTCATCAGTCTTTCGAACCAAAAGATATTCCCGAAGAGTATGTCATCTGCCGAGAGACGAGCATCCGGGAAATGCAGTTGTCCTTCTGGATCAATGACCTCAGCGGTGCAAAACGCGGCGCTGCTGTGCAAGCGATCAGTGCGATCAGTGCGAGCAATGCAGGCCAGCCGCAGAATGAAGTAAAAGGTGACCTGACCCAAGACGTGACCCCACACGAAGTCACACGAAGTCACACGAAGACAGGAGGGTACAGTACAGGAGGTATATAAATGAACAGAACGGCTCAAGCCATACATGCCCTTGTGTGAATTCCCGTGCATGTTGTCGAATGTCCCACTGCTGCGGTGGTCATTTCTTGATCAAGTTGCGGATAGTGTGCCAATCGAACTGAGGGTCGCAGCTACCTGAGTCCGGCAGCCCAGCAAACGAAGTGTCAATCCTTCTGCCCTGTGCGGGCAAAGACAAACTATCGTTTGATGCCATGCTACTGCAATAGCTGCAACTTCGTACTCGCCCTTGATCAGCAAAGCAACTCCCACCCAGCAATTCCTGAGCCGTTGCACCACACGTCACTCGTTCGTACCTTTCAATGATGCCCATGCAGTGCGGCTTGTCCGGTCGACCCGTTGGTCCGGAGGCGTCCTCAACGAGTGGAGTGTGGGGACTTCTGAGCTTAAGGACTGTTCAAGTCTTTCCGAGGCACACCATGCCCAGCAATGTTGCAAAATAGCCCAGTCCTGAGTTGAAGCTTGGTTCATCTTGGTTCCTGGCTGTTTCGTGGCGAACAAAAGCTCGGTGGGTTGGCCAGAGACTTTGGAGTCCAGAACAATCTCTCGTGGGCGTGGTCCATCTTCAGTGATTCAGCGACTCCGCCCCAGACTTCTAGCACCTTTGAAAGGTATGTTAGGTTCTTTGCAATGCCTTGCAGCTTGCAATTTCAGTGAAGTCCCCTTTCAGTCGTTTTTGAATGGGGAGGCCTCCGGCTGAAAGTATGCTGAGAGCCCCCCCACCGGGTCTTCCAATTTGTTTGGATTTGCAAGTGGTGGCTTCAAGCAGCCCCCCCACAACAGGCATCAAAAATGTGGACAAGCTACCTTTGTGGGCAATCTCCCAAACAAGGCGGCCAGTAGTCTTGTCGTCACCCGGAGTCCTTGGCTGCAATCTACCTTAAGTCTTTTCCGTTGTTTCTACCCAATGCACTTCTCGTTTTGTGCCTACTCCCTTCGGCAGCAAAGCCCACCTCAGCTCCACATTTACAACTGCAAGCGCCTTTCTGCAGCAAACACCGGGATCCTGCAAAACACAAAAAACGACCGGATATGTGCCCAGCATCGGATGCGCACAGAGTTTCCGCAGCAGTGCGTTGAAGGGCTGGGAGGTGCCAATAATGACAACAACTGGCAGCAAGCTGGTTCAATTTCGGGTTCCCTTGCGTTGTTCTGGCAGTTAAGCAAAAAAATCATACGTCTTGAAGTGGTCAGTGGCATGCGCCTAGACCAATGATCTGGTGAGGGCCACTGAAGTGCGTGCCATTCCTTGCAGTGGCACCCGGATATCTCGCATCCTCCACCACCATGCTGCCGAGATACTCTTGCACATGCCAAATCGCCATTCCAAAACCAACCAGCTGAATCAGCCATCCTTGGTGGGCACTGGAAAGAACCAACAGCAAACAATGCTTCTCAGGGGAAGTGCATACGATATCATACGATGCGGACGCACTTGCACAACTGCCAGCCTCCGAATGTGGCTTCCCACTGACCCTCATCCCAACATTGGCTACCACAGGGGCAGCTAAAAAGAGAGCTGGTGGGCTTTGGAAGCTGCCTGGCGAGGCTCCTATACTTTGAAGCCTCTTGTGCCATTTAAACCTTAGCAGTATCGGAGCTTCAAACTCCACGACAAACGACTCACGAATCCTCTCAGCCCTGAAACATATCATCTCTCTCTCTCTCAGAGTGCAAAGGCTGAATGGGTCAAGTTGCCATGCGCCAGGCTTCGCATTTGAGACCGTCCGAGTTCGGTTGGCAATAGCTACGCCCCAAGGCAATAAAGTGCCCCAGCCAATCACCTTAGAATTCTGGCCATCCGTTGGGAATAGTTCTATCCCGTGGCACACCCATAGGCCCATGAATTTCGTGTTTCAGTGTGCTACAGGTGAGCAAGACTCTTATAGCAAATAGCTTGCAGGTCCATCGTGCACAATCTGCTTACAGCAATCTGCAAGAGCAACAATGACGAGGGTGAAAGCATACTGCTTGTCCACAGCGTATACAAGGCAAGCTGCCATCAAGATCACGTGGAGAAAGAGAGCAGGCCCAACTGCTTTTGTCGCCCCTAATCGTGCGAAAAGGATTAAACATATACAAACAAGCTACGCGCCAAGGGGCATGGAAATGCATATTTATATGTTTCAATACCCTACTAGTAACAAGTGCATCGCTGCTAATGCCCTCGTTCCTAGTAGCGGGCATACTTACTTTGCCTTCACACTGATAGTGGTGCTGAAAGATTTGACTACTTCACTTCCAAGAGCGTCGCCTACAGCGGAGAGCGTGGCAAAGTCCACCATCGAACCGCCTCGATCTGAACCGGAACTGCCATGCTGCGACAGTGTGGGCGAGTTTCCATGAGCCCAAATCACCTGGGTGCTGCATTTCTCGACTCCTTCTCTTGCGCTTGTTTGGTTTGTCAAGCTGCGCTTCTTGTTCCCCATGTTGATATTGATTGTTTCTGCTATGTTTGCAATACTTGTATAGGCAACCTGCTTCTCGTTCTATCTCGTTCTCAGCCACCTGGACCTATGAACTTCGGACACTGTCGTTATCTGTCGTTAATCTATGGTTCGCGAGATGCAAGCAAGTGGCCATCTGAGAAGTGCCGGGAGTCATTGCAATTTCGGTGGCACTTGAAGCAGCCAAGGGTCTCTTGAAGCGCATGACCCTGTTGCCTGAGACCATGGAGCACGAAGAACCAGGAACTGCCACCTGAGTTGGAACTCTGCACAGCCCGAAAGCGGTTGTTTTGAGGGACGCTCGGTACTGGGGCACAAACGCCACCAGACGGTGTCGTGTAGCTGGTAATCCTGAGATGCACCGTTTCAGCGCAATTTGCACATGTGTAAGTGTAACAGAAGTGATCTCTTTAGGATGGTGAAATTTGATGATCTCTGCGACAAATCTTGGGATCTGAAGTGTCCACCGGCCCTAGCTGGGGGGGGGGCGTCAAAGATGTGTCCAGAAGGGAAAAAATTGAAAAACGGTAGAACTATGGTATACGGTTATACCGTATAACTACAAAGAGAAGAAGAAAGAATAGAAGGATATAGAAGGTCTATCAAGGTGAAAAACGATGAGCTGCGGAGATGAGCTGCCAGTACCGCTTCACCTCTCCACCGCTGCAAATGAAGGCATCATTGCCACCACCGCTGCCACCAGTCATAGAGACACTGGAGCCTTCGATAAATCCAAGAGCACTCCAGCCATCGCCCGTGGACGTCACCTGGGTGGCACATCATTTTCTACGTCCATTCGACTTCTTCCTCCTCCCAGGTCCTCCCATCCCTTTCTCTGGCACCTCGATATCAGCGTCCTGCCCATTAGCAACATCTGCATACATCCGCATGCCAGAACCAATTTCCACACCTGCAACAACCATCCAAAAAACCTTTGCACCGTTTGCTTTCCCTATGCCTCTTCTCCACGCCTGCAGCATCCCCAGCCGCTGTTGTCGTGCTGGTGGTGCTAGTGGTCGCTGTGGTGAATGGTCCACTGCCCACACTCTCCGTCCTGGGTGACTGAAAGGTCTTTAGGAACCTGACCAAGAAGCATCTGTTGCCATGTAAGCTGTGTGATTCTGTTTCTGTTCCGTCTATGAAAACCCCAGCACCGGCACCTATCTGGAGGTCCATTGCAACGGGAAAAACTCGGCAGAAGTCTTGCATCGAAGGTGCACTTCAGCTGCATACCACATTTCACCCTGATTGCCACAGAGCGCCCCTTAGTGCAGAAAATAACGAAAAGCGCGGATCAGTGGTTGAAAGAAAATGCGCGCTGCAGGAGAGTAAATAGCCCTTGTAGAGGTCTGCAACAGCCTCCACCATCCACTTTATCCAAACCCTTTGCCTTTTAAAGCCTGCTTCTTTGCAAAAAGCATTCTCCCTGCAGAAGGAAACTAAAGAAACAAAAACAATCAAGTCTAACTAAATAGCAAGACCACAGAATCGAGAAACAAATAAAACCACCACTCTTCCACCTCAGAAGCCCCCAGTAGAAAAGCCCTGAATCTTTGTTTTGTGAGTTGCTCGAGCATTCCCCGAAGGAAGAGACTACGCAAGGAAAATACTGGCGTGCCGGATGACAAATGCTTCTAGACAATAGAACTCTTGCAAAGGAGGGGGCTTTTCTGAAGGAGGACGCACACATATGATAAAGGAGGATTTGAGAGAAGAAGGGAAGCTCTATTAAGGGAAGCTCTGTGAGCAGGTTCACCAAGAATAAACACTGCCACAGGGGAAGTAAGGTCCATTGATTATGAAGAGACTGTTGTTGTTGATGAGGAGATTCCGACAAAAGAAACGACTTTCTGAAGGAGAAGTGGGACCATTAAGTGAGACCATTAAGGCCCAACGCAAAGGAAGGCACTGATGCAAAGGTCAGCAGTTGTGAAATGTTTAACCAGTTGGTATCAACAATGAGACTTGGGGAAGATGGGGGGACTTTTAGTGGGATGAGGGCGTATATGACCCTCATATGCGCAAAGAATACTGGAAAGGAGGAGGATTTGGTAGATCGAAGGTGCTTTGCACTAGGGACGCTATATATATATATATACAATGGATATGCATTCATAAAGAAAAGCATGTGAGGTTTTGATGATGGAAGAAACTTATGGTTCTTTAAAAGATCCTCCAACGACTCTGCTTGGACCAAAATGGATGCACAAATAGGGAAAAACTGACATCCAACAACGTTTATGCAAAGTAAGGTAAACCAATTCAACTCGGTCAATGTTTAAAGAATCAAAAGGTGTTTGCATAATAGTACCACAGGTTTCTCATCTCTTATTTAGCATTTGTCTGGAAGGGAGGCAACCCACGCGCAACGAGCAAATTCCACCAAGAATGCAGGCATCTCACATCCAGGACACTGAAAGAAGCACTTCCAGATGTCGAGGAAGGTGCAGTCCAGGTATAGCCTTGGAGTCCACAACACAGAGCTGCACATATGGATCCACAAATTCTGCTCCACTCTACAGTTTCTCGGGCAGTGGCTGTGGCTGGTTTCCTGCGTGCATGGACCGTAGTGAACGAAGCGACCGCGTACTCAGTCGTTCGGCCAAACAATGACCAGCACCGGTAAGCTAAAAGCAACGTGGATCATCAAACAAACACACAACTACCAACACCAGCACCAAGAACACTATCAACGCAATGACGGACAGTCCCTCCTCGCTGCCGGCGTTCGCTTGTGTGAGGCTTCCAAAGGTACCGGCACTGCAGACGACTTTTTGGGCCAACCTCATTGACTCGCTCCAGAAACTCTAGGAACAAGAAGCTACTAGGGCTCCTGGAATGCGCTACTAGGAACAAGAAGCTACTAGTCATGGTCATATGGCCACAAAAACCTCGAGAAGCGTCGCCAAGGGGCGCCGTGGTAGAGGTCACGGTGACCTCAACACTCGTCGGCAAAGCGGCGGAAGACGACTCACCGGCTCGACTGACTGAAATGCCACGAGGCTGTATAGGAAGCTGTAGGGTGGTAGCCATCCTGGGCATGTCACGTTTTTTGGATCCATGTGTCATAATTCATCTAAATCCAACATCACCCAAACCAGCCGGTGAAACATGCGGCATCAAACAATTGCCCAAGGAGCAGTTGGGATGTTCGTGGTTATTTTGCATGTATCACCAGAGGTCGCACCTGCAGTTGACAGGAAGGATGCCCTTCTTGCTTGGGCACTGGAAAATACCGAATAATTTTAAGGTTCGCTCACCCGCTCCAATCTTGGACAAGGGACCTATCGTCGCCACGCTCATATAATTGAATGCTGCACCAGGTGTGTAGCTACCCATGCAGCTATAATCGCAATCCAACAGCGACGGATATGCTGTCACCTCAGAAATCAAATCAAAACGACCACTTTATTACTAGGAACAAAGGGCATCGCTACTAGGAGCAAGGATGCTACTAGGGGCTCCTGGCATCGCTACTAGAAGCACGGACGCTACTAGGAACAAAGGGCATCGCTACTCCGTTTCAACACAGTTCGTTCAAGTGGCCAAATGAAACGTGACTGCCCACAGAAGCATTGCCATTGCGGTGTCCAATATTCCACTCACAGGGTGGAAGGGGGATCCGATCGGTGTCGCGCTTCCCAGCCCAAAACAGCGATGGGACCGGCCTGTAGCCGGAAGACATTCAGCTCAAGTCGCCCGACGAATTCTCAAAACGCCAGTAGATACAATTCTCGTGATTCTTCACACTGACAAGAACAGCTGGATGCTATATTATCACACACACATCACACATATTATACTATATATATATATATACAACCCCAGCCATACAGCTGAGCCGTGTGTCTTGGTCAATGTCCTTTCCATCGAAGTTGTGTTGCACTTGCTTGTTTCGCCACCTCTTCTGAGCAGACTCCTTTGCTTCTCTTTGAGCCGCTGGGATTGCCTGAAAAAAGCATCGTGTAGCTGAAGCTGTGGCGGGGATTGTTCGGGAGTCAGGATTCGACACCGTTCCAGGCGGACTTTATATCAATCCGCCAAGACCTGACCCGAAACCACCACGGAGATGGCCGACGATCTTGGCCCTCATTTCGGCCCTCATGGGTTCGCCTCCTTGAAAATCTCCTCCTTGGCCTTCGCCACACTGGCAGCAGACTGCTCTTTCAGCCGTGCTTCTTCATCTTCCATGGCCTCGGAAAGACCCAAGAAGGGTGGACCTAAAAGTCGATCTGCTGTTGGTTCATCCGCCCAGTTTTCCCCAATCTTAGAGAAGGGCTTTTGCAACTTCCTGCTGGATGCGTGTTTCTGCCTGCACACGCAATTCCATGCTCAGGTTCTTGACAACACCTCATCCCGTCTGGCACAACCAGCCTTCTCCATACCTTCTTCAAACTCCCGGTGCGCGTCCGCAATTTTCTCATCCCGGGCGGCCTGCACAGCATATCCACATCAACACACTGCGGAATGAACCCCAGCCACACCAACGTCACAAAAGACTTGCTAAAGGCAGCGCCAGTTGCGACACAAACTAGATCTTGCAAGACTTATTAAGGCGTGCAAAAGGTGCAAGCCGCAAGGCTCTAGAATTTGCATGAATTTACAAGGCTTTGCATCTTGGCACTGGGTCAAATCTTGCTTTGCCTGGAGGTCATCTCGCGCTTTCTGCATGGCTTCTTCCCGGGCAATCTCGAAATCCTCTTTCGCTACACGAAGCCTCAAGGAAACCAAAGAGAGCATGGAGGACTGCCTTAACGCCAACCTTGGAGTCAGCTGAACCCGTTAAGGTGTGCTGTATCTTGGGCTGCCAGCTGCTCATCTAGGTCAACGCGAGCCTGCTGCCCAGCTTCAACCACCTTGAGATGCATGAAGGTCATGAAGGTCTCGACTTCCGAAACTCCATGCCATGCTTAGCGGGCACAGCGCCTGCTTCGAGACAGCCTCATCTGCCTGACACTCTGTCAGTTGTACAGGAGAAGCAGTAGGTAAACAATGAGCTTCGAACCGACTCACGTTCTCTGCTCAGCAGGTGATTTATGCACAGTATGCAGGCACAAGATGACGCCTCCGATTCTGCGCTGAGAAGCTTCATTTCTGCTTCCGAGACTTCTGTCTGAGCAGCCTGGCGTATTCTCATTGACTGGCTCCCAGTTGCGCACGGTGCCATCTCTAAACACAGCTTGCAGTATGCCTATGGGAGTCTAATGGAGCAAAGCCAGCAAGAACCGCACCAGGCATCGTGTCATCCCAAGTCGTCCTAGCTCTCCTCACCTGCATTTCCGCTTCAGCATCAGCCAAAGCAGCTTGCGCAGCTTTCAGGGCCTCCTCCTGGCCCATCATCCGATGGAACTTCACAAACTGGAAAAGGATCGAAAAGGAGTCATCGGAAAGTACCCGAGCGGGCCGAACCTTCTGTGTGTCTTCCTTTTCTTCTTCAGATGCCTCTTCACTCTCAGCCTGAACACTCAGGCGAACCTTCGACCGGATACCTGCCGGGCCTCCTTCGACCTGCCGGGCCTCCTCTGACTCGTCTGCTGTGCCTTCCTCGGCCTCTGACTCCTCGGGCCCGTCAGAGGCCGGTTTTTCCTGTGACCTGAGTGATGCTGGACGACTAGTCATCCCAAGGCAACGGAGCGATAAGGTCTTGAGCAAATGGCGCTTTCCTTCTCCTCCTCCGACCATGGCGAGCACCTCCTCGTCTGCGACCTCACAGCGAGCCGAAAGCCAAGGCATTTGGGATAAGTCTCTAAATGTGTCTAACAAGTTGTGCTTGATGCCTTTCACTGTTCCTTAAATGACGAACTCCTTCTAATTGATCTGTCAATCTAACGTCTTTGGAACTCTATCGGTCATCTATTTCTCTCTACCCACTTTGGAACTCCATCCTGCCTCGTCTGCGACCGCGGCTGGGCCTTCGTCTTCTATGACGCCTTCCGTGCTCATGGCGCCGCCGCCGTCTGCCTGGGGAAGTGCGTGACGTGGTCCCTAGGCCCGGGAAGCAACGCACTTAGTCACTTAGGCAGTTTTCCAAGCAGCGGGTTTGTTGGGAGATATTTGAGACATAGGTCTGGGATGAGGGCCCTGGTTTCAATTGCGGGAATGTGTGATACTTTGGGAACCTGAAGCTTTCCAGGATCTGAGGATCCCAACATTTACTGGACTTATCATCACTTCTAAACTTCTATATCACTGTCTTGTGTGATTCGCAATGCAAGCGGCGACTGGATAGCAGAAGGCAAGCAAACACCCCCTCGCAGGTACGATCTTAGGAACGTACAGCTTAGTGGCCCAAAGCTTTGTTTAAAAAAGAATTGAATAGTGCCCGAAAATCGAACAGTGCTAAGGGCCCCAATTGAACACGGAAAGCTGGAGGGGCCTCCCGCTATCAACATCCAAAACCCTGTGTGAACACGTCGTCAAACTCTTCATGGCTGAAAAATTCTGGTGTGATGGCCAGCCTCAAAAGCAACCAAGCAGCCAAACCCACACGAAATGCCAATGAAACCGAAGCCACGGAAGCACAAGCCACCGAATTGGACGCTGCGAAAAGCACCGGAAAGGAGATACAAGCCAACAAACGCTGATGTTGCAGGCCCAAAAGCAACAAATGGCAACAGTTACAAAAAACAAGCGCGAAGGTCAGAAGCCACCGAAGTCACAAAGCCACGGAAGCTAAAAGCTATCACCCCTACAAAACGAAAGGCAGAGAGACAAGAACAAAAGTCTGACAGCCCAAAGCCACCACAAACCAACTATAGCAAGTCCAAATCAAGTTGTCATATAAGAGCTTACCCGGCTTACCCTCCTGCAACCAGTGAACCAGACACGCTCAATATGCTGACTCGGCACGCGTGCAAGCAAATCTCAAATAAACCAACAATTAGCCAAACACGTTTAAGATCATTTAAGTTTGGATCGTTGGAAAAAGCAGAGGACACTTGACATCACCTCAGACTCCTGGCTCACATCTTTGATGACACTCGACTCAATGGACCATGTTCACGCAATCACGATCCTAAAACCCATGATATGAATTTGATGGAATTTGTTAACTGAGTTTGTCAATGAAAAATGATAAAATATGCAAAACATCTCTGCCGTACCCTGCCTCGACTCCGTCTCTTGAGCCGCGCACGGCCGCTGCGACCCTCCCGACCCTCTCGGCCCTCACGGCCCTCTCGGCCCTCCCGGCCGTCACGGCCGCGGCCGCCCCGGCGCCGGCGCCGGCCCTCAGGGCGACCCTCGGGGCTCCGCTCTGCTTTGCCCCTGGCCACAAGGAAGGTGCTCGAATCTCTGCGACTGTTATTCTTGGCCTATTCCATCCCAATTCACCCAAATCCGACACGTCTGAAAGGAGCATGCAGCATGAGCTGCAAATATGTTTATGCAGTCAGGCTGTAGAAGTGCTTTGATGAGCTGTGCTTTCAGGTCTTCCAAGTCCCTCACAGGGAGGCTTTGACGTCTCGAGACCTCTCACAGTCAACAGCTGTCCACAGGCCACATATGGCCACCTCATGGCCCCAACATTCCACCAGCTCAGCTCAGCACCGTGAGCGTGAACGCGGGCGCAAGCGCGCGACACGTTGCGGGGCAGACATGGCTGAGTCGGGTTTCAAGTCCTTTCAAATCGAGTCGTTCTGGGGTAATTTGTTGCGCTTCTGCGTCCGTGGGGCCCTGTGGCCACTTGGCCAGGAGTTGTATCCACTGAGATATTTTTGTCGGCCAATCGATCAACTTCTGGCTCTTCATGGAGCTTGAGCCACGCCAACCCTACACTTGGTTCAGCAAGTTTCCGTTGGCATGCTGTTGACGTCAAGCATTCATCTTCAATGAACTGCTCGTCCACTAGAATCATTTTGTCAGACACGTTAGCTCCAAGATACCTCTTGCGCCCACTTCCAGCACTGGAGAGCGGCACGCTTACGCACCCTCGCAAAGGCCCAAGGCCTTCTTTTAAGCTCTTACACTTTTGCAGCAAATAGGAGCAAATAAGCAAGAACAGTAATGCAGCAATAGTCTAGCCATGAGTTTCTTGACTGCCACCAGCGAGGCTGCACCACATTGACGCCAACTATACAGCCATGCTGTCATGACAGCCAAAACCACAGTTGCTTCATCTGGCGGTGCCCTAGTGACTAGTGTTGGAACAAACATGTCAAGTAAGCCTCCACAAAGTCAAGGAACATCACACGAGTAGGAATCTCCAAAATGATTTCTTAGCAAACAATGAATGATCTGCGCCTGCTTTACCGTGGCCATTAGCCCAGTCCGCCGGCATAGGTCAAAACTCTCCACCTTTGGTGACACGTCCCGAATCACCTCATCTCGTCGGACTAGTAGCCGAAAAAGGCCGACCTCACTGTTTTTGTCACAGCGAGGATTTGATCCCTGAACCTGCAGCTTCCCAGAAGCTGGGCATCTGCATTTCCTAAAATAGTAACTCTGTGGCTCACGTGAACCTATGTCATCTCAAAAATATGTTTGTCAGCGATGCTCGGGAGGGGCCCAAGGCATCTGGTCGCAGCTTCTATCCATGCCAATCCAATAGCAGTTCTCTTGAGAGCTTTCATTAACCCTTCTCCAAAATCGGTGCCTCGAAAACTCCAAAAGGAACTTCCCTGAAATTCGGCCTTAAACTAGCTACCAACGGAAGACCTCATGTCACCTAGGCAGCCAGGTTGCATCATGTCGTATGGCGATGATCCCTTGAAGCCCTTGCCTGCATGATTGGCAATGGAAAACCCTGGACGCCACATCATGACTAATTATTAAGCAAAACATCACGTAATACATCACGTGATTTGCCTCCTTTCATGGGACCATAAGTGCTTGGAGCTCCTTTTCCGTTGTTGTCAAGGTACCTGGCCGACTTCGCAACTGATTCTGCCTATCTGAGGAAGCTCCCCTTACTGTGTGGGGCACATTTGAACGTCCTTGTCACTGGCGCCTAAGAGCCTTAGAAAGTGCTGCTAACAAGAAGCTAAATCAGAAAGTTGCTGAGCCAAAACGGTGCGCCCAACTTCTGGTTGTTCAATGTTCAATCAGCGATCTTGGCTGGTGACTCGACATATCGGTTGCCCATCATTTGGAAGTTGCGATCGTTGAATGCTCTGACAGCCTCTGAAGAGAATGAATATTGCAGGTGAAAAGAAGCAATTGTCACAAGTAACTGTTGGTTAGCATCACACGAAGCCTCATCGTTGTTGAAGAACTCCACAAATACTTCTCCTGATGGGCGGCCCATATAGTCGAGCTTGTTGTGAAATCTGCCGGTCCTTGCAGCGAAGGATCATGATTGTGTCAACACTTTTGGTTGTGCCCTAGGCTCTTGGCATGCCATAGCCTGCAAAGAACTCCTCCACCTGCGGCAAGAAAGGCCCCTCATCACAAGCCTTTGCAAAAATGATTGGGATTAGTGGATGTTTCTTCATGCCTGCTCTTTGGTGGCGGAGAAGGGCAAACCTCGAGCACGAAGCCTGAGATGCTGCAGTTCTGCAATTGAGATTGGCAGAGCCCTGCACCACCACAGGCAGGATATATCAAATGTTCAAGTGTTGTCATTACACACACGTAGGCGGCCAACGTGGAACCTGTGGGAGGTGGAGCAGCCTCCAATTGTGCAGAAAACACAAGGCCTTGCGATTCAACTGCCGAGCTGGAAATGCCTTCTCCCAGGGTATCTGCTTAGGTGGCTGCCCTGCTGACGGGTCCCTCAGATGGTTCGCTTGGATAAGAGTTGCAAACGGAAACACCTGTTTGTGTCAATCCAAAAAAGGTTAGCGAAAACGTACCATTGGTTTGGGCTGAACACACTCGCGCTGATGCATCTACACCATCCCCTCAAACCTACTCACCCGGCCGGTAATTGTGGTGTCAAAAACTCTGAGATCTTGGCTGTGCCTTTCCCATTGCTGCTGGCTTGCAGTCAATCCACCTGCCTAAGCAGTTTGCTCATCATCAAAGCCATCAATCTAAAACTTCTCAAGCCAAGTTGCCATTGAACATGTTGTTGTCGTAGTTGTCAAAAACCGCCTACGAATCATCAAAGAGCCGACCGCCCGAAAAAGCTAAGTAGCTTGGGCAGTTGTCTAATTACCACTTTTTACAGTAGAGTTGCAATCGCATTTTGAGCAGTTTTGCCATCTGCCCTTACCCACCGCAATCAAAAGAGCAAGAGTAAGAAGAGCAAGATACCACACCTGGGCTTCAGCAACGGAAGCAAATGTGACGAAGCAAAAGCCGCGAAACCTGGATCAGGCACGACCGGAGGCTTGGAGAACGAGCCAAGAAATCATACTATACACATCTATACACCGATATGATTGAACCCCCCCGCCATTCAATTAAACCCATATCACTTATATATTCATCACTGACATCGGCCGCTTTGAGAGCAACAAAACAAGATGGAACCCACGAACCCGAACGCAAACACGTTCGAAAAACTAATATGTCCAAATGACACTCTTGTAGGACACTCTTGCATGACACTCTGTAGGACACTCTTGTAGCACACTCTTGTGGGTCACTCTTGTAGGAAAATCTTGTGGGACACTCTTGTAGGACACTCTTGTGGGACACTCTTATAGGACACTCTTGTGGGACACTCTTGTGGAACACTCTTGTAGGACACTCTTGTGGGACACTCTTGTAGAACACTTGTGTGGGTCACTTGCAGGACACTCTTGTGGGACACTCTTGTGGGTCACTTGCAGGACGCTCTTGTGGGACACTCTTACACGACACTCTTGTAGGATACTCTTGTGGGACACTCTTGTAGGACACTCTTGTAGGACACTCTTGTCGGAAAAACTCTTGTGGGACACTCTTGTGGGACACTTCTTGTGGGACACTCTTGTAGGACACTCTTGTGGGACACTCTTGTAGGACACTCTTGTGGGACACTCTGCGGGACACTCTTGTAGGACACTCTTGTGGGACACTCTTGTAGGACACTCTTGTGGGATACTCCTGTAGGACACTCTTAAGGGACACTCTTGTGAGACACTCTACTGGGACACTGTTGTGGGACAGTCTTGTAGGACCCTCTTGTGGGACACTCTTGTAGGACACTCTTGTGGGACACCCTTGTGGGACACTCTTGTAGGACACTCTTGTGGGATACTCTTGTCGGACACTCTTCAGGGACACTCTTGTGAGACACTCTTGAGCGACACTGTTGCGGGACACTCTTATAGGACACTCTGGTGGAACACTCTTGTGGGACACTCTTGTGGGACACTTCTTGTGGGACACTCTTGTAGGACACTCTTGTGAGACACTCTTGTAGAAAACTTGTGGGTCACTTGCAGGACACTCTTGTGGGACACTCTTACACGACACTCTTGTAGGACACTCTTGTGGGACACTCTTGTAGGACACTCTTGTAGGACACTCTTGTGGGACACTCTTGTGGGACACTCTTGTGGGACACTCTTATAGGACACTCTTGTGGGACACTCCTCTTGTGGGACACTCCTCTTGTAGGACACTCTTGTAGGACACTTTTGTGGGTCACTCTTGTAGGGCACTCTTGTGGGACACTCTTGTAGGACACTCTTGCGGGACACTCTGTGGGCCACTCTTGTGGGACACTCTTGTGGGACACTCTTGTAGGACACTCTTGTGGGACACTCTTGTGGGACACTCTTGTGGGACACTCCAGTGGGACACTGTTGTGGGACAGTCTTGTAGGACACTCTTGTGGGACACTCTTGTAGGACACTCTTGTGGGACACTCT